AATCGCACCTTGTTTCATTGACAAGATTACAATCCCCTTTTTGATGCACACAGAAATATATAATCATTTAAACAACAGAAGAGGAAACATTTTGCAAGCCAGCTCCCTGCCCCTTAGCATACAACCATTCTCTTTCCATGAGTCTAGAGTCCTCAGCTATCTATCTTTCCATGCCAGCACCTCTGGAGTCGCTGCTTCTCTGGTTCGGCTTCCACGGTCCGCTCATGCTCTTCCCTCTTGCTGGTCCTAGGGTGTTCTGTTGCAGCTATTTTTTACTTACCTTTAGCAAAATTTTACTTGTATGTGATATTAATGATATTGTCCAATGATTTCCGCATTTCATTGGATCACCTCTCTTTGGAATGGGCAAAGATATGGATCTCTTCCAGTTGTCTTTGCCCAAATTTCTTAACATAAGTGAGTGGGTGCCTCCACTGTTGCATCACTTTGTTGAAAGATTTCAACTTGTATTCCATTAATTCCTAGAGTCTTGTTCTTTGCCAATGCTTTCACTGAACCTTGGACCTCTTCCTTCAGTATCATTGGCTCTTGATCATATGCTACCTCTTGAGATGGTTGAACATTGACCATTTCTTTTTGGTACAGTGACTCTGGGTATTCCACCCACCTTCTTTTGATGGTTTCTGCAGCATTCAACAATTTGACCATAGCATCCTTCGATTTTGGGTCTTCCCTTTTGGTTTTCTGACTCCAGATCTTTTCACATCTCATTATAATACTTTGTCTTCTTCAGCTGCTCTTCGAAATGTTCTGTTGAGCTCTTTTACCTCCTCATTTCTTCCATTGGCTTTATTATCTCTACACTGGATAGCAAGTTTCAGAGTCTCTGCTGACATCCATTTTTATCTTCTTAATGACCTTTTGATTTCTTTCTGTATGATGTTCTTGATGTTATCCCACAACTCTTCTGGTCTTTGGTCTTTAGTGTTTAATGCATCAAATCTGTTCTTGAGATGATCGCCAAATTCAGGTGGGATATGTTCAAGGTCATATTTTGTTCTCATGAACTTGTTTTAATTTTCTTCAGCTTTAGCCTGAACTTGCATATGAGCAATTGATGGTCTGTTCCACAGTCTGCCCCTGGCCTTGTTTTGGCTGATGATATGGAGTTTTCCCACTGTCTCTTCCCACACATATACAGTCAGTTTGATTTCTGTGTATGCCATCTGGTGAGGTCCATGTGCTTGGTTGTCTTTTTATGTTGTTTAAAAAAGGTGTTTCCAATGAAGAAGTCATTGGTCTTGCAAAATTTCTATCATGCGATCTCCAGGATCGTTTCTATCGCCAAGGCTGTATTTTCCAGGTACGGAGCCTCTTTGTTTCCAATCAACAGTAATTATCAATACATCTTGATTGCTTGTTTGATCAATTTTAGACTGAAGAAGTTGGTAGAATTCTTCATAATTTTGAATAATATGGTATTAACTGGTCTTCCTTGTAGGGGTATGGATAATATCCTATCACAGACAGTATTATATTTCAAAATAGATCTTGAAGTGTTATGAGGATGAATGTGACTCCATTCCTTTTTAGTTTGTCATTCCTGCATAGTAAACCATGTGATTGTCCGAATCAAAATGGTCAATACCAGTGCATTTCAGCTTACTAATGCCTAGAATAGCGATCTTTATCCATTCCGTTTTTTGACAATTTTCAAGTTTTTTACACTCATACTTCATGCATTCCAGGTTCCAATTATCAATGGATATTTACGGCTGTTTCTCCTCATTTTGAGTTGTGCCTTATCAGCAAATGAAGGTCTTGAAAGGTTTAATCCATTTGCATCATCACAGTCAGCTCTACTTTGAGGAGGCAGCTCTTCCCCTGAGTACCTTCCAACCTGGGGGTCTCATCTTCAGGCATTATATCTGACAATATTCTTCCTCATGTTTCATGTTCAATACTCTGGTGCTATCCGAGCGTTCCATTATAACTCATAAGGATTTCAGTGACTAAATATTGGGAACTAGTCTGTCTCTCCTTCTTCCTAGTCTGTCTTAGTCTATAAGCTCATCTGAAACCTGTCCACTATGGGTGACCATGGGTGACCCTGCTGGTATTCCAATACCGGTGGCATTGGAATCACAGCAACACAGAAGCCCCCACAGCATGACAGACTGACAGACGAGTGGTGGACTACTCCTCCTGCTGTTGTTGTTAAGAGCTGTCAAGTCAATTTCAACTCATAGCAAGCCGCCCTGTATAGTGTTTCGTGTTTCCGAGTGCAGCTGATGGATTTGAACTGACCTTGTGGTTCGCAGTCCAGTGCTGATCCTACAGCACTACCGCAGATGTCCCTCTAGAACAGCTAACATCAGAAACCCTGGATCAGTAAATGCTGATGAGGGTGCGGGATGTGCAGTGGGGGGACAGGCTGCAATCTTTCACAGCCAAGCAGGCTCTTTAAGGGCCACACTGCAGTCCTAGTGTTTACTCAGCTGACCTGAAAACTCTCAGGACCAGAGGGTGGGGATGGGGGAGGGGGAGCTACGGCCAAAGAAGCTGGGAGATGGGGGGTGTATAGGTGGGGGGAAAGGTGGGGTATGTGTGGAAGGATCAGAGTGTTCTGCTTGAAGGGTCAGGAGAGGAAGGTGGGGTGAAGGGCCAAGGTGGACAGACTATGGGAGGTAGAGGGACCAGAGCTGGGCAGCAGCTTCAGGGGGACAGGAGGCGGTGGGACACCCACCCTGACCCAGTGACAGCCACCACAGGAGGGGAAGGAAGGGGCCTGCACTCTACCCAAGGAGGACTGGGCGGGAATGTTTCTCCCAGGAAAGAGCCCCCTGTTCCCCTCAGCCTGGCTTAGGGCCCAGAGCAGGGCAGGCTAGGGTGGGAGGGGTCAGTGAGGTGGAAAGAGCGGTCTGAATAGCTATTTGAACACGCTGCTGTTCGAGGAGCCAGCATGGGCATGCTCAGGTGAGTAGGGGCTACCCCTGCCTGCCCTGGGGACAGCACGTTCCCCCCCAGCCCCCTCACTCCAGTGCCCCCAGCTGGAGAACCCCTCCTGCCTTTAACCTGGCAGAGGAAGCACCACACACAGGCTGCTGGGAGGGGGCATGGAACATTCCAGTGCTGTGTCTGGGGACCTCAGCTGAGCCCAGCTCCTCCCCAAGCCCCGGAACTCTGCCCCCACCCTGTGTCCAGGCCTAGAATCACTGTCCCCCAGCAGAGCCTTCTGCCTCTCAGCTAATACAGACCAAATGCCCTGGTGCACCGCCCCCAGCGGGCTCTGAGCAGGGCCTCCTACCCCACAGCCCACTACAGGGAGCAGGAGACTCTAGGCATACCTTCTTTCCCACCCAATGGTCCCCAAGGCCTCAGGGACCCCAGCTCTGTGCAGAGAGGGCTGAAGGAGTTGAGTCTCGGGGACCATCAGTGTCCCGGGAGGACATCGAGCCCCACAAGTGGCCCATGGGCAGCAGGTCTTTACATCAAAGTCACTGCTATCAGGAAAGCCACCTGGGTTGGCAGGTGTCTCCCAGGGTGGTGACCCTAATGGACACACGTCCATGTGTCAACAGGTGTCCAGGTCAGCTGAGCACTTGCTTTTCCACTTCAAAGCAGGGGCTGATGGTTTTGGGCAGGAGCAGAAGGCCCCGTGGGCAGGCATTGGCTCTTCTCCCAGCACTTTTATTAGCTCTCCTGGAGGCCAGCCAGGTCTTGAAAGCATTTGCCCTCCAAAGTTTTCTCCCTCTTCCATGGTTTCGCCATTCGGGATTCGCTCCTTTGGCTAGATCACAGAACTCCAAGGGCCCTTTAAGGCACCGATGTGGGAGCAGGTGTGGGAGGAACAACCTCCAGAGAGGCTGATGCTAGAATGGGAAGTGTCACGTGGTCGGACCTGTACTCTGACTTGACATGGGGCTGGACAGGAGACAACAAGACATGAGGGTGAGAGAGGAGATGACCAACTCCAGGTCATCAGGGTCTGAAGTAGGCACTGAGGTGCCGGCATCCGAGGAGACACTGGGGCACATAGGTGCCCTGAGCTCAGCTGGGGATGTCAAAGAGGCATCTGGATGTGGGTTCTGGGGCATGGGTCACTGGGAGGGGCCGCCATGATTGTTGGAGTTGGCTTCAGGGATGGGGTGAGCAGGAAGGAAGGACAGGGACATGGGGGAGGGGTGCCCAGGCAGGACGGGGGAGGAGAGTCCACTGAGCAGTCGCTAAACAGTCCCAGCATGACAGAGGGCCACCGGCAGTGTCGGGGTGGCCTCTGTGGGGCAGTTTGGGTCCCTGTTTCCCTGACTGCAGACCCTCTTGGGTGTTCCCACACATGGCTTCCTGTCCTCACAGAACAGCACAAGAGACTATGCCCCCCAGCCCACCCAGAGCACCCTCACAGCAGAGGTGGGCTGGGTGGAAGTCCTCATCCCCTGCCTTCCCTTCAGTGTTACCATGAAGGGTGAGCCCCTTCACCTCATCGGGGCCAGGACCCTCTTCCTAGGTGCAGACGCCTCCTGCATCCCAGCTACATGATCTTGGGGATTTCTCCCCGGGGCCCATCTCCAGGGAGGGAAAGGAGGCTTGAGGGGACAGCTGACCCCTGGTTGTTCCTCTGGGAGTCCAGGGAGCACACAGCTATGCTGCTGAGCTGAGTGGAAGGAGATGACCTGACCGGAAATCTACCAAGTGGACGGACCCTTCTGAGCGGTCATCCAGGGAGGGGGTGAGGAGGGTGGGCTGCGTCCTGTGCCAGGGAGGGCTCAGTATGGGAACCCAGGGCCCTCCCACTGTCTCTATCCCAGAAGGTGGGGACAGCGGTCCCGGCTCTGGAGTCTGGCCTGGGTGGTTGGGGCCCAGCTCTGGGCAGGAGGTTCTGAGGTCTGGCCATTGGACTCTCTCCTGAAGGGTGAGGCTGGGGCTCCGCAGCCCCCTGGGCCGAGCACGGCTTCTCCTCTTGGTGACCAGCACCCTCCTCGTGGTTCTTCAGCTGATGGACAATGTCCTCCCATGGAGGTAGGAGCCCTTCTGTAATCTCTTGGTGGCCACTGGTGGCTGGGCAGCCCCTGCTGGTGCCCTTGTGGGGGTGGCAGAAAGGCCCACGGATCAGTCCCGGGAAGGGGGACGGAGAAGGGCCCCATGTCCTGAGATGGCTGATGGAGGCGCCTTCTCATATGCTGGCTCCAGCTATTCTCTGGGAGCATTCCTAGGTCCTGTGAGGTGAGTTCCTCCGAGGGTCCCTGACCTTGGCGTCAATGATGCCTCATCGACACCTGAGGTCCAGCCACCCCACCCCACCCCACCCGCACCAGGGAGGTGGGACGCCCACTTCAGTGCATCACTTGGAGGTGCCGTGCATATGAACACCAGCGTTGGGAGGCGCTACCTCCCTGTCCCTTGCTTTGTGCAGCTTTGGGCGTCTGTGTTCATTGGTTTGAGTGCCACAATCCAAGTTTGCTCCTGTGTCCTGGGGGCGCTCCTCAGAACACACACTGCTGGGGTTCACGTCTGTTTCTATAGCCCCGGGACTCAGGAGGGGCAGCAGGGCAGCTCAGGCTGCGGAGGTCCTAGTGAGGGGACCAGACCTAGCTTTCTGGATGTTATCTCCCCACTGGGACAGGAGCCTCCTCGTCCATTTGCAGACACACAATCCTCAGCAGCCTCACCGGAAGCAGGATGGGCCCCCTGACCACCTGGCTATGGGCCTCTGGGGGAATGGGTTTCTGAGCAGTCCGGTGCAAGCTCCTCACCGAGTCCCAGAACCCCTCGGAGATCATCGGCCCTCCCCACAAGGGCCCACATCCCGTGCAATGGAGGACCTGAGGCAGATACCCTCCTGGATAGGCCATGCTGACCTCACAGTGGACCTTGACCTCAGGGACTATGTTGGGAATCAGGAGGCCCAGCCCCCAGCCTGGGAGGAGCTGTTGTCTGGACTGTGCCCCCCAGGTGGGTCTGGAGCAGGGCTGATTGAAACCCCATGGAGCCCTGTCCCAGGCACAGCGGTGTCAAAAGGATGTCCACACCTGACCCTGGGTCAGCTTCCCCTCAATCAGCCTCGGGGGCAGCTGGAGGAGGCCCAAGAGCCCAGGGCAGAAACTGTTCAGACCCCCCATGGCCCTGGGGTCTCACTCACAGCCCCTAGTCCACTTGGTCCCCTGGGTCACTCCCGAGCCGCCAGCTGTCAGCCACGGACTCACCTATTCTTCCTGAAAGTGCACAAGAGCGCCAGCAGTACTGTGGCCAACATCCTATTCCGCTTCGGGGAGAAGCACCATCTCACCTTCGCCCTGCCTGCCAACCGTGCCCCCCATTTCTCCTACCCACGCCACTTCTCAGCCCGAGATGTGGAGGGTTTCTCTGGCAGTCTCGGTCCTCGCTTTGACATCTTGTGCCAGCACCTGCGATTCGAACCCACAGAGGTGAGCCCTGAACCTGGGGAGTGCGCACACTAACATTTGTCCCGCCCCCCCCGCCCCCCCAGTCAACCTGCACAGAAGACCTCGGGGAACCCAGTAAGAGAACCGTGAACCCCTGGAAAGCTGAAGGCAGGTGGCTGGGGGCTTCCTCTCCAGAAGGGCCTGTAGGGTGGTCTGTCCTGTCCAAGGGGGGCCAACTGTGGGCCCCTGTCCCGGGGGCCTCTGTAACTGGACTCAGCTGAGACTAAGGATCTGCCTTAGTCTCAGGGAAGGGAAGGAAGTTCCTGGTTTTGAGCTCAGAGCCCCCCTACCTCGTGACCCCCCCGGGGCCCTCTGTGACCCCCCGTGGCCCTCAGTGACCCCCCGTGGCCCTCCGTGACCCCCCCCATGACCCTGTCCAGGTTCAGCGCGTCATGCCCAGTGATACCTTCTACTTCACCATCCTGCGCGACCCCGCGCGCCTCCTGGAGTCTGCCTTCTCCTACTACAAGGCCATGTCGCCCTTTTCCCGTGCCCGGAGCGTGGGTCACTTCCTGGACCACACCCGCACCTTCTACAACCCACTGCTGCCTGATAGCCACTACGGCCGAAACCTCATGGCCTTCGACCTGGGCTTCGACCACAACGCGCGGCCCACGCGCAGGCGCATGGCCCGGATGGTCCAGGAGGTGGCTGCGCGCTTCCACCTGGTGCTGATCGCGGAGCACTGGGAGGAGTCCCTGGTATTGCTGAGGGATGCGCTGTGCTGGGAGCTGGACGACGTGGTGGCCTTCCCCGTCAACCGGCGCGCGGCTTACGCCCGCCAGCCGCTGGACCCTGGCACCGAGAGCAAGGCCCGCGCCTGGAACGCGCTCGACTGGGCACTCTACCAGCACTTCAACCGCACCTTGTGGACTCAGCTGCGCGCCCTGGGAGCTGAGCGCCTGCAGCGGGAGGTGGCCGCGCTCTGGCGGAGGCGGGAGCAGCTGGCTCACATTTGCCTCCCGCACGGGGAGGGCGCGATGCCGGGCGCCGTGAGGGACCCGCAGCTGGCGCCCCTGGACCACGGCCTGGCGCCCATCCTGGGCTACGAGCTGAAACCTGGCCTTGACCCGGCCACGGAGCACACCTGTCGCGGCCTGGCCACCCCTGAGCTGCAGTTCGGCCAGCGCCTCTACCTGCAGCAGTTTCCTGAGAAGGCTCGCTGGCTGTCTAGGACGCAGCGGGAGTGCCCCCAGTCCTCACTAAAGCCTCCTGCAGGCCAGATGCATCATTGTGCAGACCCAGGGCAAGATGGAGATGTGAACCTTGTTTAAAAGGCGGGGGTAGGAGTCACTAAAGGTACTAAAAGAGGAAGCCTTTTCCTTTAAAGATACTTTGTGGGTCAGAAGTCATACAGGAGTAACACTATAAACGTAGAAATTGCAAAGAACTCTATATGAGGTGTGGTCATTTACTTACTAAAATTAATAATAATAATTTACTAATGGTATAACTTCATGGATCAAGTTTTTGCCTTGCTGCCTTTTGATTGTCAAAATTTATACTTTTAAGCAATGTAATTTTCAATCAGTGCAACTGAAAGCAATACCAGCCACAATTGGCAAATCAAGATGACAAATATGTTTTCCCAAAACTTTTTATTGTGATTTGGGTGAAAGCTGAATGAGCAAATTGGTTTTCCACTCAACAATTCACAACCTTTTGTTTTGTGGTATTACCATTCCCAATCATGTAACAGAATTCTTCCGGCTTCTCCCTGAGTCCCCCTGTCCATTTGTCCTTCTTTCCTTTGTTATATTTGCCAGTGGTTTGCTAACTTTATTGGCCCTTTCAAAGAATCAACTTCTATTTCTTCTGATTCTTTCTACTGTTGTTTTTTTCCTGGTTTCTGTTTCATTTATTTCTGCTCGAATATAATTTCCTTTCTTCTGTTATCTGTGGGCTTTTTGCTGTTCTTTTTCTAATTGTTGCAGATGTTGGATTAAGGTGCTAGTTTGGGTTCTTTTTACGTGTGTGTTTATTACTGTGAATGATCCTCTGAACACAGTTTTTGATGTGTCCCAAAGATCTTATGTTTTCATTCTCATTTGATTCAAGGAATTTCTTATTTAATTTTTATTTCTTCTATTGCCTATTGATTTTCAAGCAGGGTGTTATTCAGTGTCCATATATATATCTGCTTGTTTTTTGTCTTGGTGTTTCTATTTTTCATTTCTAATTTGATGAGACTTTATGAGACATTCTGCTTCCATGAAGAAACTCTACATAGGGTTGCTATGAGTTGGAACCAATTCAGTGACACTTTGTAGTATTTTGATAATAAAAACGAACAAACATTGAGGATTACTTTGTAGCCTGTTGCTGTTAGGTGTCATCGAATCATCTACAACCCATAGCGACCCTATGTACAACAGAAGGAAACATCACCTGGTTCTACACCACCCTCACAAGTGCTGTATGTCTGAACTCATTGCTGCTGCCACTGTGCCAATCCATCTTGTTGGGGGTCTCACTCTTTTTTGCAGATCTGCCATACTTTACCAAGCATAATGTCTTTCTCCAAGGACTGGCCCCTCCTGATAATATGTCCATAGTATGAATGACAAAGTCTGGCCACCTTGGCTTCTAAGGCACATTCTGACTGCACTTCTTCCAACATAGATTTGTTTGTTCTTCTGGCAGTCCGTGGTACTTTTAATATTCTCCTCCAACACCAGAGCTCAAATGCATCAGTTCTTCTATGGTCTTCTTTATTCATTGTCCAACTTTCACATGCGTATGAGGCTTGGCTCAGATGCACTTTAGTTCCCAAACTGACATCTTTGCATATGCAGATAATACCACCTTCCTTGCTGAAAGAAAAGAGGACTTAAAACACTTACTGATGAAGATCAAGGACCACAGCCTTCAGTCTGGGTTGTACCTCAACACAAAAAATACAAAAATCCTCACCATTGCTTGACTAAATAACGTCATGACTAATGGAGAAAAGATTGAGGTTGTCAAGTGCTTCATTTTGCTTGGATCTACCATCAGCACTCATGGAAGCAGCAGTCAAGAAATCAAACGATATATTACAATAGGCAAGTCTGCCGCACAAGACCTCTTTAAAGTAACTGAGCAATCTCAGCTAAGTCTTTTTGGTTCTACTTTGTAGGTAGCTTTTCATTTTCTCCAAGCTGCTTAAGAACCCTGGTGTGGCATTGTAGGATGAGCACTGGACTGCTAACCTCAAGGTCAGCAGTTCAAACCCACCAGTTACTCTCAGAAACTCTGTACAGGATCACTATGAGTTGGAACAGACTTGACGGCACCCAACAATGACAAGAAACTACTTAATAATCCTTCTTTATCTTTGGTTTTGAGCTGATTCTGATATGTCTTTGTGATTTTCTTCTGCAGTCTATCCTATTTGGTATTCACCTAGCGTTTGAAAGCATATTTTCTCACCTTTTATGATATTAGCAAAGTTTCCTTCCAACAAGTCTTCGGCACTTTTCTCTGTGCTTTCTTGTGTCTCATTCTGTTCTGGAATTCCAGTCACATCTCTGTTATTTCTCTTGGTTCTTACACTTTCTTTTTTTTGGTGGTGTTATATTTTTTAATTGTTCCACTGACTAATTAGTTTTGAGATATTTTTCTTTAGTTTTGACCGTTCTGTCTTCCATCGAGTCAGCTCTGCTCCTTTGTCCTTCCAATGCATAATCTACTCCTGGCATTTCAGTGTTAATCTTCTGGATTTCTGTGTGCTGTTTTTGCATAGTTTCTAATTTTCCGTTTATTTTGTCAGCTTGTTCTCGCGTTGTTTTCCTGAATTCTTCTAGAGTTTTGCCTGCGGTTTTCTTGATTGTGTCTATGATTTCCTTGGTGCTGTCTTTGTTTTTCTTGATCTCTTTTTTAATCTATTGAAGGGCCCGTAATCTAATTATTTTGAATTTCTGATCAGGTAACCCCAATACCATTGCTTCCTCAGGCAAATTTATTGGCTGTCTATTTGGGTCACCTTTTTGAGCCATCTTGTCCTGTTTGCCAGGTGCACGCACTCCATGGCTGGGGTGGCAGGTTTGGCAGATATGGCTGAGTAAAATGACTCCGGGCCTATGGGAGGAATGGTAGTTGGGGACAGGAAAAAGAAGAAGAGAAAATGTGTAAAGAGGAAGAAAAAAGGAAAAGATAAATGAGAAAAAAGAGAGAGGGAAGAACTAAATATGAAGAAAATAATAAAGAAAGAAAGGAAACAAACGAGAAATCAGCAGTTGCACAAACAACAGCCGGGAGCACACACGGCAGGCTGTGGGGAGCACAGAGCCCGCTCCCCGGGAGCACACACGGCAGGCTGTGGGGAGCACAGAGCCCGCTCCC